TATGGCGTTCTGAGAGGGTGAGAAATGAATACATATAAACTTGCAAGCTAGGAATTTCCAATAACCAGCATATTAAAGGATCTTGCCAAATGGTTGAAAATCAATAAGTATTGCATTCCCTAAATGCATTCATTCATTCAAACATTGACTCATTCAGCTCTTCCTCTGTGCCTATGCTCTCGGAACCTTAAGCTGGTAGAGACAGACGTACTGAGAATTACAGTTACAGGGCTCACTCTGTGGCCTATACAGCTAATGATTAGAGGAGGATATGGCAAACTGTCCTCAGCAATATAAGGATCACTTACAGAAGGACTGTCTAAGGAGGAGAAGGCATTCTAGGCAGAGAAAAGAAACCTAGTGAACCATGTCCAGCTAGACTGTAGGGTATCATTATGCTACAAAAAAAAAACAGAGTAAGCATTTTTTATATGCCAGACACTCTTATAAGCATTTTGCATTATATTCTCAAAGTCATACTAAGAGTTAGGTGCCATTCACATTAAATAGCTGAGACTTCTGCAGCACAGAGAGGTTAAATGTTAACCTGGGTACACAGCTACGTAGAGGCTGAGCTGCAATTCTAATCCAGGCAATCTAGCTTTAGAGTCCATCTTCTTCACCACTATATAATCTATATTACAGCTATTGTTTTTATCTTCTTTGTAATAAAATTAATTGTTTAACGCAGATCTTTTATGATGGAAACTACAATATGCCACGAAACACTGACAGTGAACAAATGATTGATGTGATCAATGAGTGTACACCACTAAGAATCCTTTTGGCCCCTGAGCAAGTAAGAAGAGCAAGTGACAAACTATCATTTTCTTGTACAGCAACCCCTACCCCAAGTCAGGGTTGTGCTTAAGCCACTTGGAGACCTCTGTTAGAAAATGGGACATCATAGGGCAGGGGTTTCACAAAGTGAGTAATATGAGCAGATGTATGTCATTTAAGCAATTACTTGGAAGGAATAAGAAGGGAAAACCAGAGGAAAAAAAGAGACTAGAAAAAGAAAAATCATTAGGATGTCATTTGCAATACATCCAGCAAGTGATAATGAGGCACTAAACTGTAACAGTGGGGAATCAGATGTGAAAGATTAAATGACTTGCCCAAGGACATGAGTCAAGGGAAGTGCCAGAATCAAAACCTGGGTCTACACCATATATTTCACTGATTTGGGAATGGTGTGCACAATGATTTGCAGAAAGACCACTATCATGAAATTTCTAAGACTTCTCTATACTGTATACTTTTATCCATAATGCTGATTTTTTAGGTCTGATTTTATACTATCAAATAAGCTGTGACCCAAAATGAATAATATATCAACTGCATAACATTTAGGCAAGTGACTAAGTAATTTAGTATAGTTGTATTAAAATTGAGACTAAGCCTTATATATAATCTAGGAAACAAAATACTCCATCATAGTAAAAGTGTGGGGATTTGAAATACACTCTTTCATAAAATAAGCTATTCCAAAAAACAAATTTACAGAACATAATCCTCACAATTGAGCTTCCAAATAAGTTTTCAAAATGAAGCGCTATCAGAGAAGTCATTTAAGAAGTAGATTTTATTAATGTGACAAGTACAAGATAAATATATCATATGATTCTCAAATGACATAATTAATGTAGCTTATGTGACATACTTCTATTAATGATCTTTTATTATGTGTGAACAGTAAAATAACATTAGATGAGCAATGAAAAATCCAATCAACAGTAGCTTTCCAGAAGGTTTTGACTGCAGTCCTATTTACACAATGTTATCGGATACTAATCCTTGGGCTTTAAAGAGCAGAAATTGCTTCAGAATTGTAAACAAACATGTTCCTATGAGATGAGCATTTTAATTATCATTTCTGCAAATACAAGATAAAAATAATGTGATGCAGACTCTTAAAGTGAAATCAGAGGAAATTATATTTTGCCAGGCCAATTGAGTTACATGAATAAAAGGATCATGACACTGGATCAAGAGCCCAGTCTATAAAGCCTGATTCTTTTACTTAATCATGACTTTCAGGGAGATTTTGTGCAGGGTGGCTGATCCCTCCCTGATGCTGTCTGCAAAGATTAGAAGAGAGTATGAAAATATCCTGGGTTTCTTTAATAATTTACCACTGTCCAATATTATGAATCAACTGAAATACAACAAAATCTAAAAATACAAGTTTATAAAATAGTAATGAGCAAATACATTATCCTTGACACTAAAAAAGGGATGTGGTTCTTGAATGTAAGGAACAAGAAGTATAATGAGCAGGCTAGATATAAACATAAAGAAACTGGGATAGATGCATAAAGAGGAAAAGAGATCCCAATTAATAAAAGACAATCCTCCTAAAGAGACATGGACTTTTAAGTGCTCCAAAAAATCAGAGGTAGGTAAGACCACTGTGCTTCTTAAAGAGGAAAACAGAACTGGGGGTGGGGAGAGTCATCTTAGTTCTGGTACCTAGAATTGAGGGAGCAAAGCTCTGGCTGTCATACAGCAAAGTCATCTCCGCTTTATCTTTCTTGGATAAGGAGCCTTGGTAATCCAAGTTCCCAAGTACAATGGTGAGGGACCCATGTTTTAAAGTAATTAAAGCTCAGTCCTAAGATTGACACTGCCATGCTATATGACTCTAGGTAAGTCACTTCACCCCCTCTAAACCTCAGTTTCCTGATCTGTAAAATGTGAATTATAAACATCTCCCACCTCATTGGATGGTAATGAAATGAATGATATGTCCCAATTAGAGATGTCTAGCATGAAGCAGGTGCCTAAAAAATGGTAGGTGCCGTTTACATGATATTAAATGGGACACTTAGCCTGATAAGATCAGGACAACTCCTCAGAATCCTGCTATTTTTAAAACCACTTTATTAAGGTATAATTGACATTAAAAAAAAGCCTGTCTGTTTTTAATGTACACAACTTGACAAGCTTAGTAATAACTATATACCTACAAATCTTATTTTTCAGGGAAATTACATGGCTCTTGGTTGGAGGCCCATTATACTGTACTCTAGACAACTGGGTCTGAAGCTCTTCACTGTCTTGGGGACAAAAACATAATGAATCATATTCTTATGGTTTCTCTTCAAAAAGGCATCTGACTCTAAAAGAATACACCTGACTCACATGTTTAACAAGCTTAAGTATTATATTTAACTGATCGAGTAAGCAAAGAGGAGGAAAGAGCTCCCCTTCAGTCATGTACCTTAGCTGCATGCTCAGAAACAAAGAAATCTGTAATCTATAATCACTCTCTTATAATGACCCAGAATTTAGAAAAGCCAAAACTAGTGGTAACTAACAGGGTACATGACAGCAAGCTACCAACCATTCTAGTCATGAAGCCACCAGAAAAACACTGCTTGGAGCAACATTCTGTGGATGATCTTCCTAGCTTTGTTAAAATCCCATCCATGCAGTATCTCTTTTCATTTGTAGTATAAATGGTTTTTATGAAAGAGTTTGGTAAAACTCATGGAATGTGACTATACTACTACCAATGTGTTAACAGATCCAGCCAGAAACCATAGCAATGATCTGAGCAAGTAAGTATTCTGGCAAGAGTAAGAAAATAAACCTAATCTTTGTAAAGACGTACTGGTGCCCTACTGGAACTGAATATCAAATCTTTTCCAAAGTAGCTTCCCTTTCCAATGCAGAAGAAGCAAGAATTGTTCTCAGGCCACCACCAAATAATTATACAGTATTTGATGGCTCAGCTTATTTTTCTCAATCTTTAATGAACTCTGCTGAATTATATCTGGATCCTTATAACATGATGATTTGAGATTATGAATACAGTGAGTAAACACAACCTTCTGGTATAGCAATTTAAGCATCACTAAGTGAGTAAATACTGCAGAGTGAATCCTAACACTTGAAACAGAATCTTCTCAAGTCCAGAAATCCACCTGACTGCCAAGAATAATACTTCCGTGGTTCAAGCAATACTAGTACCCAGAGGGGTTTCCACAGACATAACCACGAGTTACTGCATATTGGGTAAAATAGAAAAAACAGATATTTATAAATGTACAGTTTGCAGACATCTTTAAACTACTCATAAATATTCAATTTACAAATATAGTAGAAATGGAAGACTGTAGGAATATGAAGCATCTGTTTAAATTGCTTAATTATATGGTTTCTTCTATGGGTTTTCCTCATCCTAACTATTTTTATTGGGGGCTGGGAGTGGGGAATATATGGCTCTCTTAACCAAAGTACTGTAAATAAAACCAATTTCACTGAAAGAAGCTCTATGATAAGAACAAATATATGAGAGATTCTGACTTCAAGATGAAGCAGAAAAGGCAATGTCACAGGACAAAATAGCATCAATTAAATATCAAAGAAAACCTTTCAATTCACCAGGCAGTGTTTGTTAGGTTCTCCACCAGTAAAATAAAAGTACAATATCGTCTCAAGCACTTCACACATGATTTCTATTTCTTCTCTGATGTAAAACTCGACATCTCACATCATGGCACAAAGAAAAGAGTCAGTTTAGCTAGTTCAAGTAAAACACCAGACAGCTGCTAATAGAGACAGGTCGCAGCTGGGGAGGGGCACTGCACATTCAGTTCTCTATGTTTTCTTTCAGAAGAATGTCAATAAAAACCACGGTCAAATGAGGTATTGGGGGAGTGGGGGGACTCTATGGAGCGAACCACTTGGTTCACCTAACAGTTAGCGGCAGTCGGACAAGTTAGCAAAAAAGAGCCCTAGCCAAATGTACAGCTGCCAACAACTTGAAGAAAGCTCTCTTTCTCCCTCAACATCCCAGGGTAGGGACCAGTCCCACATTTAGAAACGTTATTTCTGGGACCAATAGCAATTTATTTTGATAGAACCACTAGATTTTTTTTTCCTGAGTTCTCAACAAAGGAGCCATATTAGGAAATAATCTCACAAAAAAGCAAAGTGCTCCCTCCCCCTTTGCCCACGATCGATGCACACACGCGGCGCACGCGGACACGCACAGACACCCGCCCGTGCACAATGGCCGGTGCACTCGCAGGGGCCCACGCGGCTGCTCAACCCGGCCGAAGGCCCCGCGGCTGGGCCTCAGGCGCTCGGGCGGGGGAGGCCCGAAGCCAGCAGCCCGCCGCCCCGGAACCAGCTGCTGGACGCTTGTGCTGGGGCTGCTCGCCCCCCAGCGGGGCCCTGGGGTAGCGGCTGCCAGCGGCCAGGAGCCCGTTAACCCCTTGGGGAAGTAGGTACTACAACACCCACCTGCGGGGCCGCGGGGGGGGGGGGGTCTACTTCACTGGGGACCGGGCGACCCCGTGTCCTGGGACCCTGTAGCTCTTGGCTGGCTTCAGCAAAGCTAATCATGTCCCTGGCTCCGCAGGGCTTCTAAAGCGAGCGGGTGTTTCTGAGCTGTCACCCCTGAGGGTCTACACATACCCAAGGAAAAACTTAAGAGGGCAGTGGACCAGACCAGACTTGGTAACTGGTCCCTAAGGGACCAGCGCAAGTCCCTAAGGGGCCAAGGCTGCTCGGACTGGCAGCGCCGTAAGATGTGGAGGGACCCGAGGGCAACTGCCCTCGTTACCCTTCCCTGAGTTGGGCTTTGGGGCCCCCGTTCCCACTCCGGGACACTTACCTTCTTCCGGGGCTGCCATTTCATCATATTTGTACAGCCGATACGTGGAACATCAAGATGTTGGCTGGGGGCTGGGGGCAGATGCAGGGCAGCCGCGACTGCAAGTCATGCTGCCTCCCTCCCACCCCCTAATTCTTTCCCATATTCACTGCGGAAGGGAAAAAGCCCAAGAGAGTCCAGTCTTTTCGCCTTCAGTTCAATGAAAAGTATCCCCAAACCACGAACACACTTCCCACCAGGCTAGGAAGTCCCAGCAGCCACCAGCGTACTCCTGCCAGAGCGGGGCATTTTCCCCCGCTGGCGCCTGCGAAAGGAGCCTACGGCAGGGGGTCTCCGAGCCGGCTGCTGAGACCCTCCCTCAGAAAACAGACTGAGAACGCAAGCTGCCACAGAAACCCAGCCGGGCTCCTGCCATCCAAACCCCTTTTGGCGAATTCTCCTCTTCTCAAAAAAGATTAGACAAGCAATCAAACCCTCACGCGCAGCCTGGAGCAATTCCCAAAATTCTGGGTGTATTTCTCGTTTGTAAAATTTAGCAAAGAAAATTCCAAAGATCTGTAATCAGAGCTTCTTTACGCTGTTTTTCTCTTCCTTCTTGGATAACTTGGGGAAAGAATCTGCCCTTCCCAAAATGCCTACCTTCCCTGAACACTGTAAATAGGAAAACTTGGTTTGTGTGTTTAGATTTTTTGTTTTTTTAATTCCCAAGAACCTTAGTAGGGAAAGGCTGGAAGGAAATCCTTCAAGAACCCAACTCCACAGCTCAGTCTGCACTAATGACTTCCTTCCCTTCGGTGCAAGCACAGCCTGCCCAGCTCCAGCCACATGAACAAACGCTTCTGGGTCTTAGTGCCACGACATCAGCTCATCGCAAAAAGTAAAGAACACAGTTTCAGAGGCACCCAATGGCTCCTAAGGAAGCAGAGCCAAAAGGATCTTCAAGGTCAGTATACCTCCCCAAAGGATATACTCAGATTTGAAAGCAAGTTATATGCAGGGGGGAAAAAGGAAAAGGAAAAAAACCATAGACCTAAAGACTCCAAAAACTTAATTTCTAATTTGAAGAAAAAGATTTGAGGTATCCAAAAAGATAAAATATTGTAATCAAGAATTCTGCCCCCAAATGAACTTAAATGTAGATTCTTTACTTCTCCAAATCAAGTGCTAAATTTATTACTATAAAAATATTGCTTTGGGGATTGAGTTTCATTTATCTTCTGTGAAATGATTCTATCTTATTTAATATTAATCTACAAATATAAGACACTATATAATTCTATTATCATCCAATATGTCTGCCAACTCCTATTCTACCATGAAGCTGTTTTGATAGCTGGTAATAGTATAAGCTACTATAATACCAACTGATATAAACAATAATAGTAACTGAAGTACTATGAGTCCAATGTCCCCACAATGTTTAACTTCCTAGAGTCCTGTATCCATTGTCAGAATTGCCTTTATGGGAGATTATATGCAAATTATCACCAACTATAACATAAATTAATAAAACATCCAACAAATTACAGTTGGCCCTTTGTATTCACACAGGATTGGCCTTACTCTTCTATTTTCCAGATGAGGTTACTGAGATTCAGAGGAATCACTTGCTCAACCAAGACCACACATAAAGAGTATGATGAGACTGGAATTCAGACCTACAAGGAACTTACTCCAAAGCATATGCCCTTTTGATGGTGAGCATCGCAGCTATATGCCAACCTTCACTCTCATCTCAATAAGCCAATTAAGTACCAACTACTTAGGCATCTATTATTTGGCAGACCCTTTGGTAATCACCAAAAATATAAATAAGAAGCTGGCTGTCCTTCCTCTTGGGAAAATTACATAATTTCAGGCAGTTGTCACCAATAAATCAGCTTCTCTTCCTAACTCTCCCTGTTCTATCTATAACACCATTATTCTTCCAGGATTATAAACTAAAACCTTAACATCATTCCCTATAGCTAATCTATCACCAAGTCCTCTCACTTCTTTCCTAAACATCAGTTTCAAATTCCTACTGCTGACATCTGAAACTAGAGCCTCACAAAACAAATAATATATTAAGTACCAACTAAAGCATCATGTGGTATAGAAAGGCATAAGACTAAGTCCCTAAATTAGTGGAGATTATAAAGAAGTTAGGACAGAAGTCCTATAAGAAGAAAGCTAGGCTCTCAGTGACTCAGTTAAGTAACTAATGGGTTATGTGGTCAACAGGTGTTCTAGGAGATAGAGAAATCATAACTTTATAAAGGAACCTGAAGTAAAAAGTGAGAGGAGATGCAACATATTCTGGAGCCAAAAGCCACAGTGCTTATCAGGGCTGTAATGCCTTTTGGGCTCTGGACTCTTAAACCTGAGCTCACTTTTTACCCTTCTCTTGCTCCCTTACTACCCCTGGTAAACTGGCCTTCTGATTGTCCCTTATGCCTAGTAAGCATGCATTTGTTGTGTCCTCTGTTTAGGTCACTCTTCTTTCAGATACCCTCAGCTCCATCACTCAGTTCCTTTGGACTATGTTCAAGGATCTTAGAAGTTGTCTGTCACTAGCTCATGTAAAATAATAGCACCATGACACTCACACTGTTACTTTCTGTATTCCTTACCCTGATACATTTTACTTCATAACTCTATGACATATTTTGCTTGTTTTTCATAAAATGTCTATTTACGTCACAGGAATATAAACTCCAAGAGAACAGGGACTTTGTTAGAATAGAACACCATCACCCAGTGAATAGTGCCTGGTACACAGTAGGCAACCAATAAATATTTCACAAATAAAACAATGAAAGAAAAAACAAGAATAGTGTGAGCAAAGGAGACAGCCATAGGGAAGACATATTCAAAATGCCTAATATTGACCTGCATAAAATATAAGGCTAAGGCCTGAGGTATATCTTAGAGCACTTGCCTGGCATGTCCAAGTTTCAATCCTCACTATTGAAAAAAATTAAAGTATAAGGCTTATATATGAGAACAATAGGGGCAAGAACTTTGTCTTGTTCAACTTTGTGATCTTCCACGTCCAGAACAGTATCTGACACAGAAGGGGTACTTGATATTTATGAGATAAAAGAATTAGGAGGGGCTAGTGGTAAATGAATAAAATTCCATTACATTTCATATAAAGTAAAGATATTTTTGCCATTATCTTGGCAAGCTGTGTTGGAACCAAATGGCTAGGAATGTAAGACAAAGAAATTTGGACTTTAATCTATAGAATGTAAAGCACTGAAGAGATTAACAATAGGAAAGGGGAACAACGAAGTAACATTTTGCTGTTCATTCAGTTTGGCTTAGGTTTGCTTTGTTTTGTTTAGATGGGGTCTCATTATGTTGTCCAGGCTAGCCTTGAACTCCCAGGTTCAAATGATCCTCCTGCCTCAGCCTCCTGAGTAGCTGGAACTGTAGTCATGTGCCACTATGCCCAGCTTGAAGCAGTATTTTTAAGCAACCTAATATAAAACAAAATATTAACGATGATTTTATGGAGCTGTTTTTAACTTTTTTGTTTTTTGGGTTATTTTCCGGTACCAGGGATCGAACTCAGGTCCTTGCACTTGCCAAGCATGCACAGTGCCATGTTTTTAACTTTTTAAAAAGCTATGTGCATGATTAAAATCCTTATTATGACTAAAGTTAGAGAAGTTAAGCTATGTATTCAATGCCATGTTGCAAGTCAGTGGCATTGAAAGGACTGAAGCCCAGGACTTTTCTGCTTATAAACCACTGCCTGAGTGAGTGAGGCAGGAACCTAGTTGCTTTAGGAATCAAAAGAAAAGTTTCTATTCTGCCTCTGACTTGCTATATTAACATAATTTTCAGAAGGGCAAGGCAGGTAACATGAATAAATGAAACAGGTCTAAAACAATAGGGAATTGTGAAGATTGCAAACATGGAGACGCATGAATCATGCATGTAAAGGAGATAGCTGCTACACAACTCTAGTGAATTGATGTCATGCGGGAATATCAGTCAAACAGTGTTAGAGCCTCTAAATTTTCATGAGAAGTTAGAAATTTCCTGATTTCTAACTGTTTGCCCAAAAAGTTTAAAGCATCCTAACAGGCCAAACAAAACATGCCTGTAGGACTAAGTTCCATCTGCAAGTCCTAATTTGTGACTGCTGACTTGACCACTCAAGGCCTCACTTTCCCATATGTAAATTAAGGGGTCTAATAGTTCCTAATAGTTCCTAGTGGGATAGTTTTCCAAAAGCATTAATGAATCCATATGTATACCACACTTGGTCTGTGAACTGGGCACAATCTCCTTGCTCAGATATTGTCGGATTTAGCAATATACAAATTATTTTAACCCCAGGGAAAGGAAAGAGGGGTCTGAAAACAGTGGGCTGTTTCAGGAAAGGAGACAAGAAAATACATCTGTTTTGAGAAAGAAAGAATCTAAAACTTCAAAGCGAGGTAAAGCTTTAAACTGATTTTCAACTTTTTAATTCCTTTGGATCACTTATTTGTAATCTGCATGGCACTTCTTCTCCTGCTGCCTGGTGAGTGTTTCAGCTCCCATTTAGCAGATTCCGCTTGATAAAGGACCATTCATTACCTAGAAGCTTTTAAATACCAACACTGTCTTCAGTCATGTTTTTTTTTTCTATTTTGTGTCTTTATTTATTTTGCTTAATCCAAATTGAATTGATATTTATACCTGAAATCTTTACAGATTTACTATTTTACTAATATACTTTCTCCATTAGGAATTATTTATATGGAGCTAGCACACTTCAAAATGTGTAACTTAACATTATTGTTTCAAAGATCCAACATTGAACAGTAAGAACATATTTTCCCAGATCTGCAACTACTAAAAGACATTTTTACAACTTCCTCATGTTTAACATAGCACTTTGCAAATCAATTCCCTAAATGCAGATACTGTAAAACAGTCTATTAAAATAGTATTTTTCTCAATAACTACTTGTCTATTCAAATCTGAACAAAGGCAAGAAAGAGGAAATGAATGGTGAGAATACACTTTTTTCATTGTTGTGAATTTCTTCAAGCTTTCCTAAGGAGTGATATATCTGACATTGACCACAGGGTATATTCCTGAAAAAGCTAGCCTTGTACTTATTTACATTTATTGTGCTTTAGAAGTAGGAAATTAAACTCAATGTGAAACAGTATTTGGAAAAATATATTAATTTTCTTAAAGACTTCCAAATTAGAAAATGGAAAAATGGACACAAAGTCTTTGTAAACAGGGAGGGATGGAGGGATTGAAGGGAGGGCAGGGCAAGGGTGAAAAATAAGAACCAAGAGAGATTACGTAAAGGTGCAAATTTCCACTGATGAATGTCATCATATTGTACACCTAAAATGTACCAATGATTAGAATGAATAATCGATAATGCAAAATAGGAAGAAAAGGTCCAAAGGGGTAGGGGTAGTGGGAGGGGCAGGGGAAAGGAAAGAAGGGAAAGGAAAAGTTATGAGAAATGGAAAAAATGGAAACAAAGTCTTTGTAAATAGGGAAGGGTGGAGGGGGTGAAGGGAGGACTAGGAATGGGGAAAAAATAAGAACCAAGATGCATCATGTAAAGGTACAAGTTCCCAATGAGAAACGTAAATGTGTTGTATACCTAAAATGTACCAATAAAAGAATTTAAGTAAAAAAAAAAAACCTCTAAATTATTTTCAAGAATCTGAAAGATGTAGGGAAAATAAAACGGCAAAAGCATAAGTGTATTTGATGCCAAAAAATTCTGCCTCATTGGTGATTTTTCACACAATTGGATGCTTCAAGAATGTGAAGCCCTTCCTTTTCTAGAAAAGAAACTAGAATAAGTTGCTACAGTAAGAATTCTGCCACACAAACCTGCTGATGCAGGACATGCTCTCATTCTCTGGCAGGAAATTATAACAGATGGCTCCACACATCCAAAGAGGATCACATCTAACCTTGGCCACCTCACCTCCTTCCACTAGCAGGCGGCTGAAGTGCTCCTCTTCCTTCCCTTTAACTCAACACTCATTTACTGACTGTTCATTGTGTACCAGAGACTGTCCTAGGATTTGTAAGACAGACGAAAATATATCAGTTTATTTCCATCCTTGAAGAGACAGCAATCTGGAGAATACAGGTACACAACTAATGAAAATAACAATAGCAACAGCAGCTAACACCAACTGATCTTGCTATTTTCTGCCTCTTAAGAGCCTAGGCACTTATCGCTTCTTGGCCTTTTGGCTAAGATCAAGTGAAGAGCCTAGGCACTTAAGCACTAGAAGAATGGAATACCTAATGGCATGGTCTCTCTTCAAGACTAAGGAAGCCCTAAAGAATAATTAATTCTGACTGATAACTGAGAAAGGTTTCACAGGAGAGGTGGCACAGCATCTTTCCAACAAGCAGAGAGAGGGTGCAGGCAGGAGTATTCTAGAATGAATCAAAAGAATAAGAGCTCAAACCTGAAGGTATGATAATGTGGCCACATAAGCAAGTCATCTACCAGATCTGAAAACTACAATGCAATGCAAGCTATACTGGAGTTAAGTTCAAAGGGCTGAGTGCTATTCTACTAAAAACAATGATAATAGCTATCATTCATGAACTGTGTGCCAAGCACTGAAACTTTTAAAATATTTTTTATTTCACTGAAAGAATACTTTCATGAGGAGGAACTATTATTATGCCCATTTTTATCAAAAAGGAAACTAAGGCTAAA